CATCAAGTCACGGGGTTTTTTTTGTCAGTTTTATAATAATACACCACCTGTCCTTCTCCCATCTGCCCATAATGTGAGATATTATTCCTCTTCCCTGGCTATGCCCCAATTATTTTGTACACGTCAGAGGTGGCAACCCTCTGTGAGACAAATTCGACTAACTGGCCAACTTTTTCCCGTAACTTCATAGCATCATCCCAACGCAACAATAAGATTTACGATCAAATGTGTAAAATTCTAAACCGGCAAAGAACAATAGCCTGAGACCCTACCCTATCCTCACACTTACAACCTCAAAGGATGTTCGAAAGGGCTACTCGTGACACTTTTAATACAATTCACACCAGCCGTTGCGGCTATATCAGGTTTGGAGTTTGCGAGGTGTATGAGATGCCGGTAAAAGTGGGAGTATTGTAGGTGCTTGCATGTATGCGATCTGGAGTGGATATGAGAGTGTTGTGTATTTGTGCGTGCTAGTGTAATGAAGGGTGGAGTACCATGTCCGTCAATACGTGATGTGTATACGCATTCGCGTTAGGTTTGCCAACCATTGTACAATTATTACAGCTAGGTCGGGAAGTCGTCGTGGCCAAATCCGTTGATGCCACCACCAGACATTGCCAACTACCCTCTGTCACATCCCACAGCTGCTGCGTATTAGACAGGAGACCTCTACGGCCTACACGTAAATCTAAACCTGTTAGAATAGACCTCACAATGCAGTAGGCCACAGCCTGTTAGACCGGGCCTCAAAGTGCAGTGGATAACGGCCTATTAGACTAGGCCTCACATTGTAGTAGGCCACAACCCTAGAGGACTTGGTCTCACATTAGTAGTAGGTCACATCCTGTTAGAAGAAGCCTCAGGCCACAACATGCTGTACCAGGCCTCAAAGTTGAGTAAGCCACACGTGCTATGCCAGACCTGCTGCCGTATCGGTGCCTGATAGCGAACAAAATGGCAAAAATGGCCCAATCAACAAAAACATCCTCAGAGTCCGATTTGTACTGGCGATGTTTACCATGTCAGTAAAACTATTAGTGCATCAGTAAGTTACTTGAGCTTCTTAAAAAGAAAGCATAAAAGGTTTTAGGTATCGGTGAGCCAAAGGTGCTTGTTTGTAAGGCATTAGCGAGCATTAGTAAGCATTTAGTGCTTAACGCTTTTGGAATGTATTTTAAGTATTGTCGTACACCGGGGAAAGCTTTGGTAAGCCGCAGCTGCACGTGAGTCATGCTGTTGGCATTTCCTATTGAGCCAATGTTCAACGTTAGTATTGGCAAGCCAAAACTTGTTGGTAAGCAACGGAGAGGCCGTTATCAAGTAAAACGGCGTGTTGTTCGGGGATTGGCAGGCGTTAGCCATCGCCAAGCGTTTGTTGAGATTGCCAAGCACTCGCCAAGAACGCGTCAACCAAAACCAAGGATCATCTATATCGGTGAATCATTTGCTCATCGTTGGTAAGTCGGTTCAGAGTGTTGTCCACTTCGGCAAGCCATTTAGTGTTGTTAAGCCATCGGTGCATGCTCGCTGCCAACAGGACAACTGGTAATCCAAAGATGCTTTGTTTTAATAGCATGACTATGCCAAAGACCTGGGTTTGTGTGTCATGTTCCACTTTCGTAAGCCACCTTAGTAAGTAAAAAACAACTAGCTAGCTTCCACGCGAATATGTTTTCTTAGCAAAACGAAACTGCGGCAAACTTCTTCAACCGCGCCGTAAGGGGTAAGGGGTGGCCAATTTGAACGAGGGCTTTTGTCGATTACGTGGCGCCTCCCAGAGAAAACAAAATGTCTGCTGTCAATTTCAATATCGGGGGGGGGGGGGGGGGGGGGTCTTACGAAGATTCCTCCTTTTCCACTCGCACATCCGACGCCGTGCCAACATGGGGGGCAGTCCACGGCACGGGTGTTTCTTTTCTTTTACCCACTGGCTAGTTATTATCATGCTGGGGCGAAACAGATCCGTGGTACCCTGGCTTCACAAGAGGTCTGGTATCTGGCTCTGTACGTCCGTCAAAAACAACACCACGCACGTGCGTGTGCATGTGTGTGTGGCCATCAAAGGAAAAAATACGTAACGGCCGACGTTTTGGCATTGGCCATTCTTCATGGGATGTAAGGGCCAATGCCGAAATGTCACCTGTCATGTATATTCTTTTTTACTTTTAAGGCCACTCATACACGGTGTTGTCATTGACAGATCTGTTCAGTCGTTAGCTGTGCTCGTGCACCAACTGCCAACGCAGCAGCAGCGGTGGCTAGGAGATGTTAACTACCTCGCCTGGTATACAGGAGGGTCGTGGGTTCGATCCTGACCCTGACTCCTGCTCAGAGGTCGCAAACGGGTTTTGATTCCTTACCCGTACCCGGCCGCACCAGGGTCGCAAACGGGTACCCGTACCCGGCCGTACACGTACCCTACCCGTACCCGGCCGGATACGGGTACCCGGCCGGGTACGGGTAGGGTACGGGTATCGGGTACTTGATTGCGACCTCTGGGATGAAGCCATATTGCAGGCGCGGGTGGGTTGATTCTAGGAACTTGAATTGTGAGAAGAGACAAAACATTGGGAAATGAGTGACAAACGGTTACTCACCAGTGACTCACGGCCTACCCGTACCCGTACCCGGCCGCAACAGGGTCGCAAACGGGTACCCGTACCCGGCCGGGTACGAGTTCGGGTAGCCAGGTATCGGGTAGGGTACGGGTATCGGGTACCCGGTTGCGACCTCTGCTCCTGCTGTATATTTGGAGTTTGCATTTTCTCTGTGGGTTTTTTCCCCTCCACATTTAGAAACATTCACTTAGTATATTTGGCTACTATAAATTTCCACGTGATGAGAAGCCCACTTCGTCGAGATGTAATTTGTGATAGCCAAGTCGCTTCTGAAAAAGAGCAACATAGCTCAGTGGGCCGTACCTGGTCAAATACAATTTTTTTATATTTTAGTATCACCAACTACGACACGGCTCAGCACGGCTCGGCTTGTGCAGTGGAAAAAAACCCTCCCGGTTCATCCTGAGGCCTCGCACCAGGCTGGATCAGCATGGCCACGGCACGGCTCGCTTGTGCCAGTGGGACAAAAACAAAGATGTATGATTGGTGTAAAGGAGGAAACGTGATCAGACCTGGGCACTTGTGATTAGCTGTTGGGTTGTACTATGCAAATAGCTTATGATTGGCTGTTGAGTTGTATTATGCAAATGCAGAATAGATATTCATAGAAATCTGCCACCTCAGGTGGAGAGTTGTTTTTTTAAACAGTGTTTTTTCTGTTTTATTTTTGTTTGCGCTGAAAGCAAACTTACATTTTTAACGAAGAGAGCTTCTTAGAAGTATCTTCTCTTTTTAAATCTGAACAGCATTTCACTTTTAAAAAAATGGACCGCGAGCACACGAAACTTTGACCCTTTTTAACGCGATGAACAGCGTAAGTTAAAACGTTTATTTATTTTAAAAATAACTCTTAAAAACTAAAAAACTGGTATTCCCGCTTTTCCCAATAAAGTTCACGCGTTTAGTTTAAAAGCCGAGCGGTGGATTCGCGAAACGTTTTGGACGCACGACTAAGAAATGTGCGCCACAGGCCGCAGCGCTTCGGATGCAGCGCTTCCTGTAAAAAGGGACGAAGAGTTTAATAACAAAAAGTAAAATCCGTCACAACCATAACGACGGATGAATATGTGCGTGAGGAAAAGTCCTCGCTTAACGCTTTCGCGCAACGCAGAAGGCGCGCCGTTATAACGCGGAACGCGAGCGTCGTTGTAACGTGGAACGAGCCCCCCCCCCCCCCCCGTTATAACGCAGATTCTGTGCAAGCGGACTACTTTCTTGGGTTGTGCAACGCAGAGTGGTACGGTAATGTGGTGGCGGTGGCGTACCCTCAGTAACCTGTCCCCGCTGTCTCACCGCATGGCACGCGTAGTAGTAGTCACAGTGGCGGGGGGATGTCTCCGCTTAGCGCGCTTTTTCGCACGTTGGCTGCAACACTTTTCAGGAACGCATCCACCACCACCAGCACAAGCATCACCACCAGAACCACCAACAACAACCGCCAGTGGCGGTGATGTCACCACGACGCCTGTGCCAAGCTATGTGCACGTTAAGGCCACGTGAAGTGTCGAACGCCCGCTGGCAGGAGGTCACTGGACAGACCCAGCAAGTGCCATGGGTTGACTGACCACCACCACCACCGGTGCGTCATCAAACGGGGGGCTCACCGTGCTGTACTCTCCATATATAAGAAGCGCCTTTGCAGTCCGACCCGCTCAGTTTGATTGAACGCAGTTGCCCGACCGCACAAAACACAGTCGCTCGCACGGACAGGCGGTCGCGACAACGTACGGCATGAGAACTCCATCGTGGTACCATCATCATTGTCCCTTTCCTTTCTCGACGACGCTATCAGGTTCTCACAACTCAACCCCTGTTATAAGTGACCGCAGTGGGGGGGGGGGGGGGAGGTGGAGGTAAGAAGTGGACGATGTAACGGACCCCCCCAGGTCTCCAGTCTAAATCTTAAGTCTATCTCAGTTGGGGGGGTCCTGCCCCGGCCCTGCCCCCCTCCCCTACCGCCTCAGCAATAAGGGGAACAAAGGTGTCGAACATCGTTGTGGTTATAGCGGCAACAACAAGACGCGGTGTCGTCACTGGGGGCTGTCTTTCTGTCTTCTTCACAATTCACACCTTTTCATTGCCAATTCAAACAAAAATAAAAAGGCTCATTCACTCCATTCGGGACTACAACTTTTGGGGGAAATTCGAGCGGACGGATCAGAAAAATGTTTTTACGCGTCCTTAAAACCCCCTAAAAAGCTGTCCACGTCGATTAACACGCAGCAGCAGCAGCAGTCAGCTTTCGCGACCGATATCATCCATAAGAAGTTGTGTTGGTTTAGATCTCGTAAATATATAAATGTGTCGTGAAACCCGCCACCACCACCCAACACGGCCGATCAGCAAGGGTTTGCCACGTAAACAAAACCTCGTCAATTCGTTACTAGTGTAGTAAGTATATATGGAGGCTTGACGACAGGATCGGAGGCACACTTATTTATTACACCAACACAGTTGAACAGGTCACTTGGCTACAGGGATTCTCGACAGCTAACCCCTCTAACCTATACCAATTCCTCCACTACGGGACTAGGGGAGGCTATCTGTCCCAGCTTGGTTAAGCTGGGATCCCGGCTCCCTGAGTCACCAGACCAGCTTCGTCTGGGCTCTCGGGGCCACGCCACCGGCTTGCCCTGGTCGGCCCTTATAAGGACAGCGAGCCAGGGGAGCTCTGGGGCCTACACTAGCTGGTCTTCCGTCTTCTCTGGTTAAAGCTGAGTCCCCGACCTCGAGCCCTCGAGCTCATCACCTTTTATAGGACTCGCCCCCGAGGGGGGGCCCGTGGGGGATACACATGCGGACGTCGGTGCTAGCGCCACCCTTGTGTACGGCCGTAACCCCGCCCCTTGTGTTTGTTGGCCATCCGTGGCCATGCATAATCACACCTCAACATTCGTAGCCATGCGCAATTACACCTCTACATCACCCCCCCCTGTACAGCTCGCAGCCGTCCCTGGCTGCAAAAAAAAAAAATCAGAATAAAGGTGCATCCCTCACAAAAACCCCGTGTGTGTGCCTCGCGTAATTTCTAACAAGAACAAGAGAACCTTAACAAGAACAACAACAGGAAGAGAGCGAGAGAGAGAGGAAAAAAAAATAACCCGACGCACCCCCCCCGAATAAATACCCCAAAACCAACATATATACACACACTCCGGACGCCACCCCTCCCATTGTCCGCAAGGCCCCCCAACGGCCGACCTCACAATAGTCTGCGCGTTTTGGCGCGCGTCCGCGCGGCGGGCCCGTCACAAGGGCCCGTCCTGGCACGCTCAGTGACGGTTGTTGACGGTCCGGGTGCAAGAGAGTCAGGCGTCGCTGCCGAGTGACCCCCGACCCCTCCGGGAGGGGTTGGTGGGTGTGGACCCGTCACTCCTGTTTCACCTGGGGACGGAACAGTTGGCGTCAGGTTAGGCGAGTGCAGCGACGATGGGGAGTCGGCGACACCCTCACACGTTTGGCCATGCGTGTGTGTGTGTGAACCACGGGGCGGCGCGACAAATGGTTTTAACCTTGAGGGGTGCACATACCACCGGCGCCTCCCCCATTTGACGCGAACACATTGCGGCCGCAAAACCTGCACGACCTCCACTGGCCCCCGCCACGGCCGTACCAATTTCGACGAGGTTGCCAGCGGCACCTGAGGACAGTGCAACCACGCCCTGTCCCCTGGTTCCCATTTGACCACCTGCACCCGCCCCAACCGAAGCCTCTCGTTCGCCTTCTGGCGGAGTTCAGAATTTTGCACGGCCGCTTCCCGCGCCTCAGATAATTTAGCGATGTTAAATTTAATGTGTTCGGACAAATTAGACTTCGCCGGGAGCGCCGAGAGCTTCAGCTGGGTCGCCACAGGGGGGTTAACTTCGCGCCCATACATTAAAAAGAAAGGGGAAAATCCGGTGGCCGCATGAGGAGCCATTCTGTAGGCCTGCAACACACCGGCTATGCGGAGGTCCCAATCCGTCTGGGATACCGACACCTGCTGGGACAGCATGGACGTGATGGTCCGATGCAGCCGTTCCACCATCCCGTCAGTTTGTGGGTGATACGGAGAGGTCCGAACCTTCTCCGTACCCAAGAGGTCGCACACCTCACGTAGGAGTTTACCAGAAAAATTCCTACCCTGGTCAGTAAGCAGCCGTTCCGGAGCACCTTTGTCGAGGACATAGCCCTGGACAAAGGCCTCCGCGATGGCTGCTGCCGACTGGTTCGCCAGGGGCCAGGCCATAGGCCATCTCGTGAAGTATTCAACCCCCGTTAGTAAATACCTATTGCCCCTGGGCGTAGCGGGAAATGGCCCAAGTATGTCCAGAGCGACGAGCTCGTTAACCCGGGAAACTTTTATGGACTGCAGCGGAGGGTTGGACCCCCTCGCAGGCGGCTTCCTCTGCGCGCATTGCGTGCATGACCCCAAGAGATCCCCCACGTCCTTTTCCATGCCCGGCCAGAAGAAATCCAGCTGGAGCGTGGCAAAGGTCTTGTGAACCCCCAAGTGCAGAAGCCGCTCACGAACAGCCCATACCACCTTACCCCTTAAAGCAGCAGGCACCACAAGCCGCTGGCGCCGGGTTTTTCCATCCCAGTGCATCAAAAGACCCTGGAACAACCCCCACGAGTCAACGTTTTCCACCCCCTGACCAGCCCCCCCGACGCGACGGCGCAAAGCGAGGAGGGAGGTGTCCTCCATTTGGAGGCGTCCCCATTCCGCGACCGGCAACCCCAGCAACGAATCCCTCCCTTCTTGCTCGATAGGACCCGAAGCCGAAGGTGCATCGGTAGCGGCCACGAGGACCGAATCGGTGGTGACGTTCGGGGGCCTACAACGCCCCGAACCCAACAGGCACGCGCACTCCGAAGCGGGTGGCAATCGTGACAGGGCGTCAGCGTTCGTGTGGCGGACACCCTTACGATATGTGGTGACAAAGTCATAGTCTTGGAGGATCTCCAACCATCGAGACAACTGGCCCGATGGTTGTTGAACCCGCAGGGCGTACTGTAGGGCCGCATGATCTGTACGGACGGTGAACCGCCGACCGTACAGATACGGGCGGTACTGCTGAATGAAATAAACAATGGCCAATAATTCCCGACGGGTAACGCAGTACCGCTGTTCGGCTGGAGACAGTACCCGACTACCGTAAGCCACCACATGCTCTACGCCCCCGATGAGCTGGGACAGCACACCCCCGATGCCCGTGTTACTTGCGTCAGTATCGAGCAAGAAGGGTTGTGAAAAATCCGGGTAATTCAACGGCGGAGCTCCCACCAAAGCATTTCTGAGGGCGCGAAAAGCAGCCTCCTCCTCCGGCCCCCAATGAAACCTGACTCCCTTGGACGTCAAGGCATGCAATGGTTTCGCAATCGTAGCGAAGTCAGCCACAAATCGCCGATAATACGACGCGAACCCAATGAAACTCCTGACTTCTCCCACAGAGGTGGGAGTCGGCCAGGAGCTGACGCATTCCGTTTTGGCGGGATCAGTGGATATCCCCGAGCGCCCAACAATGTGACCCAAATATCGCACCGATTCGCGGAGTAAATGGCACTTCTGTGGTTTAAATTTCAAATTGGCAGCCCGCATTTTGAGAAAAACAGCACGCAACCTCTGGAGGTGTTCCTCGAAGGATTTGCTAAAGACGATGACATCGTCTAAGTAAATCAAACACGAATCCCATTGCAAACCTGCCAAGACCAATTCCATTAACCGCTGAAAAGTTGCCGGCGCAGAATGTAAACCCATCGGCAAACGGTTAAATTGGAAGAGGCCCTGCGGTGTACGAAAAGCAGTCTTAGGTTTCGATTCGTCATCCAGAGGAAGCTGCCAGAATCCAGATAGCAAATCAAGGGTGGAAAAGAATCGCGCACCGGCCAAGGCGTCGAGCGACTCATCCATCCGAGGAAGCGGGTACGCATCTGCCACAGAGATTTTGTTGAGACGCCGAAAGTCAACACAAAATCTCAGTGAGCCGTCGTGTTTTTTCACCAAAACGATCGGCGCGCCCCACGGGCTGGTGGAAGGGGAAATGATATCGGCGGCTAGCATGTCATCAACAGCCGATTTGACATGATCCTTTTCGGCGGGACTCAACCGAAAGGGATTTTGGCGGATCGGCGCGCTGTCACCCGTGTCAATATGGTGTCGCAGCAATTTTGTACAACCAATATCAAATTTGTGTTGACTAAAAACGTCAGCAAATTCGCTCAGGAGAACTCGCAGCTGCGCGCGCTGCGAGTCAGACAGGTCCACTGAACCCGCGCAAAGCGCATCCAGCCATCCGTCATCAGAGTCCGAATGCGGTCGCGACGGAGGATCGGTGGATACCTGACCCACGAGTGGTTCCTCATAGGGCACCGGCGTTGCGTGTGCAAGCACGGTCCCTTGAGGAACCACGGCCGTTCGCGATCCCACATTAAGGACTGCAATGAAGGGGTCCCCATCCCCTCTCACCATAGTCTGAGCCGCGAGCAAATCGGGTCCATTGACCCCGGCCCGAGATGGACCCAACAAGACCCCCCGATCCGCAACCCCTGCATCAAACGACCGACGCAACCTAAGAGGGACGAGCATCTGAGCCCCCGGAGGCACGCGCACAGTTTTTGTGACGAGCGCCTGCACGGTGGCAAACGCCCGACGCTCCGTGGTGGGGGAAGACAGAAATGTAACGCGTCGGCCCGATGGGAGCTCAATGCACCCTTGGTCAATAAGGATACGGATGGGCATTTTGGCCAGAAAATCCGTCCCCAACAGGCACGGAACCGCGAGTGAGGAGGAAACCAAAACAGGGCCGGATAATTTAATGTCCCCAATGCAGATAGTGGCGCGGATTTGGCCAATAATGCCCAGAGAGCCTCCGTTAGCGGCATAGCACGGCACGTCAACAGGGAGCAAGGGACGACTTTGAACGGGAAGGATGTTATAAATTAAATCAGATATAATGGTCGCCGATGCCCCTGTGTCAATTAAAATCCGCACCTCTACCCCATCAATGTGACCGACCACGACCGATGATCCCGCCGACGCAGCAACGACACGATGGGCGAGCTCCGACCACTGACCCGGTTGGAGCGCTCGCCGCATTACCGAACAATCGCGCGCGACGGACGGGGAATTTGGAGCCCTGTTTAGTTGAGCGCGTGAGTGTGTGTCGGATGTGTGCGTGGGCCAAACGTGTGAGGTGCCGCGACTCGCCGTATTTCTCTGCTGGAGCTTGGGAGGAGACGGCGTGGCGTCCTGACGAGGTGTCGCCCCGCGCTGACGGGGAGCCCGGCATCCAGACGCAACGTGGCCTTGCAGGCCACAGTTGTAGCAGCGTGTGAGCGCCCCAGATGACCTGGGCTGCTCCTGGCGGCTCGGTCCATTCCGAGCCTGCGGTGCCGCCGATCTCCATTCCCCTCGCCGCTCCACCCCGCAGACCTCCTCCGATGGGAGGGCGGTGGTCGCCATGGCATGGCCGGCCGCCCCCTTTGCCGCCTTCCGACGCAGGGACCGCAAGCCCCCGTGGATGTGGCGCGCGACCAGCAGGGACGACATCTCCGCGTCGTCCTGAGCCAGGACGTTGACGTCCAGCTCGTCAGCGAGTAGCAGCAGCTTCTCAGCCACCATGGCATCCACTCCTTCCTCGTCCATCCTTGGGAAAGCAGCCTTTGCCAGAGCCAGGAGAGCCGTCCGGAAGGCCAGGGGTGACTCGTTGGCGCCCCGACTCCGATCGTGGAACAGCTGCCTGCAGTCCGAAGGCGGCCCATAGACGGCTGACAGCAGCTGCAACGCCAGGTGTAGAGTGGCGCGCTTTTCCCTCGGCGCCGAGGTGAGGGTAGCCAGGGCGTCGTTGTCCAGCATCGCTGGCAGCGCGCGTAGAGCCTCGGCGTCCGACCAGTTCGCCATCTCTTGATGAGCGATGAACCGCCTCTTGAAGCCGCCCCAGTCTCCGTCAGCGCCGACAAATTCTTTAAGAGGCGGCAGACGCTGTTGTAAGGCGGCGTCCGTGGCCGCAGAACGCTCTCCGTCGCTCCCCGCCGATGATACAGTGTGGGCGGGCCGTGCACATGGCATCGCCGGTCGCTCTGATGTTGACGCGCCGGCCGGCGTTGATGATGTCACGGCTTGTGCTTGGCGCTCAGCAGACACGTGACGCGGGCCGGCCCCGCCCTCCGCTCGTACTGTAGAGATGGCGGGAAATTTGACCGCGAGCCGCGTCGGGGTGGCGGGAAACGTCGCCCCGCGCCGGCTGCCGTCGTCGACCCGCGCTGCTCCTCCAGCCCCCAGCCGCGTGATCTCCTCCAACGCGGCGGCCGCGGCGTAGAGCAGGTCCGCCAGGCGGGAGTGGGCCAGCCGGAGTCCCTCGGCCGACGCATCCCCCTCCTCCTGTCGTAGCGGCGCGGGCGTACTCGGCCCCGGCTGCTCCGATTCGACCCCGGCCATCACTGGTGGAGAATCGGCCGCGGCGTCTTCCATCTCCGACTCCCTGGTACGTGTCGTCCCTCGTGTGTCCATCGTTGGACGTTTACTTCTGACCCCAGATGTAGTAAGTATATATGGAGGCTTGACGACAGGATCGGAGGCACACTTATTTATTACACCAACACAGTTGAACAGGTCACTTGGCTACAGGGATTCTCGACAGCTAACCCCTCTAACCTATACCAATTCCTCCACTACGGGACTAGGGGAGGCTATCTGTCCCAGCTTGGTTAAGCTGGGATCCCGGCTCCCTGAGTCACCAGACCAGCTTCGTCTGGGCTCTCGGGGCCACGCCACCGGCTTGCCCTGGTCGGCCCTTATAAGGACAGCGAGCCAGGGGAGCTCTGGGGCCTACACTAGCTGGTCTTCCGTCTTCTCTGGTTAAAGCTGAGTCCCCGACCTCGAGCCCTCGAGCTCATCACCTTTTATAGGACTCGCCCCCGAGGGGGGGCCCGTGGGGGATACACATGCGGACGTCGGTGCTAGCGCCACCCTTGTGTACGGCCGTAACCCCGCCCCTTGTGTTTGTTGGCCATCCGTGGCCATGCATAATCACACCTCAACATTCGTAGCCATGCGCAATTACACCTCTACACTAGTTCAGCACTAACCGGTTGTGGTGTTGGCGAGTAAAACTCACTACGACATTTACAATTCGGGCAGCCGTGACGTTTCACCGGTAATTACAACAACAACCACCACCAGCATCATCAGGCGACAGCCAGAGTTGTGAATTGGCACGCTTTGTTTACGTGGCGAATCTTACTAATTGGGCTGTGTCGGGAGGTGGTGGTGGTGGCGGGTTTCGCGACACCACATTTATATTTTTTTAAGCGTCGTCGCCGTTGAGATTTCGTCAAGCGACTTGAAACTTTCTTCGCAATTCGAAACGAGCCACAATGCGACGTCATTCCAAACCAATCGCGAAATAGCTATGACAAACCGTTACGTGGGGAAACCAGCCGTGGTCACCACGGACAGCTAACCCATTTTATTTTAACACGTAGGCTTTCGTGACCAATGTTACTCATAATCAACGTTTTTGGGTTTAGATCGCGTTTATTTATAAATGTGTCGTAACCCTCCACCACCCGACACGGCCAATCAGTAAAAAAGTGTCACGTTGACAAAGACAAATAGTTCACTGCTTTAGCCCACCGGTGTGTTGAAGCCACAACATTTACAATTTGAGTACTCAAACTATTTGTCTTTGTCAACGTGACACTTTTTTACTAATTGGCCGTGTCGGGTGGTGGAGGGTTACGACACATTTATAAATAAACGCGATCTAAACCCAAAAACGTTGATTATGAGTAACCCATTTTAATTTTTCACGTATTCGTTCGTCGCCAAAAAAGCGTTATGCCAAAACCTTTGGCGACGAATAACATGCGTGGATCCACGTTGAGGTGGGGGGGGGCATCCCTTTTGAGGGTGGCAGTCCCTCCGCTTTGAACGTCGATCACCAACCGATTGAAGTGGGCTGCAATTTTCCGCTGCAGGAGTTTGCGCATTTTGGAGAATGGTTTACTTCGATGAATGCGGTGATGATAATTGTTTTTTTACCCTTTTATCTGGCAACAAAACTGACACCTTTTTTTTACAAGGAGTCATGTTTGCATAGACCACAATACCTGCAGTCGTAATGCAAACAAAAAACATAACTCTGATAATGATATGCACTGTCCTTGAAGTTGATTGGTCCACACCCGAGACAGCTTTCCTTAGAGCCTAGTCTCACATGGTGTTGGACCAGATGACGCCAAAAGGCGCACAACTCAAAGACAATGCACCATCAGAGTATGAGAGCTCGGGATAAGAAGTTTTGTTGCCAGATAAAAGGGTAAAAAACCAATTATCATATTTTTTCTTCTGTCAAATGAGGTTCCAATGGTGTGAATGCGGTGACGTCACGGTGACGTCATGGTGACGTCATGGTCAAACATCGCTCGGGACCGAAACGCCGTGGATCAACAAAGGGGCCGTGAGCTTTTGTTTTCTAACCGTCGAGGAGTTACGTCTCGGATTTTTTTGGAATCCCGAGTGGCAGGCAATGATGATGACGACGACGACGGTGACGACGACGATTGCAGGTTGTTGCTGTGATTGGGCGGAGTCGGTCACGTGGTGCTCAATTCATTCGTAGCTTCCCGATTATCGCTGCGATTGGACCGAATCGGTCACATGGCGCTCAGTTCATGCGTGACTTCTAAATTTGAAGCTTTCGTGACTGCAAGGATTCATATTCTTAGGTTTTTTCGGTAAAGTCACGTAGGTAAAAAATTCAAATTAATAAAAGTAAAATTAAAATAAAATAAAAATCACGACACGTCAAGTAAGATGCAGCAATCGTGGCTGTGACGGTTCCACCTGAAGACGGAAGCTTGTGTTGCCTCCGAAACGTCGTGATTTTTATTTTATTTTACTTTTATTAATTTTAATTTTTTACCTACGTGACTTTACCGAAAAAACCTAAGAACATGCGTGACTTCCCAGTTATCGCTGTGATTGGACGGAATAAGTCACATGGCGCTCGATTCATTCGTAACTTCCCGGCTGTCACGGTGATTGGACGGAATCGATCACATGGGGCTCAATTTACTCGTAACTTTCTGGTTATCGCTGCGATTGGACATAATCGAATTCTCCGCTTCCTAAACCAAATGCCTTTTGTTCTAAAGAATCTGAATGACGCACACCGTCGATGTTGTTGGCGAGCGGATGATGCGTTGTTGTCGTTTTTTTGGTTTTTTTGGGGGGAAGGACGTGTACATTTTTAACCATCGTGTTGATAAAACTATTCTAAAAAAACTATCAAAATGAACGGGACTTACTCGAATAAAACGGTGAACTGGAAACCCAATGATTGCGAGGTTTAGTCTTGAGTGTCGCGTGGCGAACTTTGTGAGCGCGTGTGTTAAAGTGTGTGTGGTAGTGTAGCGGTTAGCGCTACGCTGCGCTACAAACCTGGCCACCCGGGTTCGATTCCCGCTCACGGCCAACATCGGTGACGATTATCTGAACCGGTCCTGGGCCTCCCCTAGGTCGACTCAGCCTCAAATGAGTACCTGGTGCGGTGTAAACATCGCCACTGGGGAGACAAAGGCGGCCGGGCGTGGTGCTGGCCACCGACCCCTTCGTGTGCCGTGCCGGCCTTCATAGGTGCTCGCTAACAGCACTTGCCCCTGCAGTCTGTTAAGGCTATACGATGGATCTTTGTCTTTGTCGGTATGTGAGATCCTAAACTCTGCCTTCCCTGGCGTGGCCAGGAGAGGGGGGTAGACGATCTTTACGGAGAGCCAACCTCTTGCCCCTTGCCAATGAACATCTGGGTAGCTCGCGCCAGCAACCGATTCTTCTGATGAGATGCTGAATTTCGAAACCAGCCCACACACTTTTTCTTGTACTGAACCAAATGTTCAAGCCGTCCTGACTGCTGACGAGACAATGAATGTGGAAACCAGCCCACACTTGTTCTTGTACTGAACCAAATGTTCAAACTGTCCTGACTGCTGAAGAGACACTGAATGTGGAAACCAGCCCACACTTTTTCTTGTACTGAACCAAATGTTCAAGCCGTCCTAACTGCTGAAGAGAAACTTGATGTCAACACAGGCTTCAGAACCTTATTTAATCGTTTTATCGAACCAACGGCAGCCCTTCGCAATCGCAGGGGACGTGACAGCGGTCACGGCAGGTGACCGGAGACTAACGGAGCTCATCGGATGTCTGACACAAACGCGTGTTGTCTTCACAACGCGATGATGAACGCATTAAGGGAACGCGTTTCTTGGTGGATGCCGATTGGAGGTAGAAGGCGATCGAGCGAACGGTTGTAACGGCTGCCTCAGTGCAGCATCGTCATCACACGAGGCATTGGGATGCTGTTGGATGCTTCTAGAACAGTGATTCTTAACCTGAGTTGCATCACGCACCACGCACCACCCCAAAATGCCCTTTCTGGGGGGTAGCGAGACGTGGCGAGATTTTTTTTGGAAGGTAAATCATCAAATGCAGCAACGGGCACGCAAGTACAAATTATAATGGTGCGTTTCTTGCCAGTGTCGAAATAGAGAATGTATAAATTTCGATTTAAAGCTTTCGTGACTGCAGGGATTCATCTCCTTGGTTCTTCGGTAAAGTCACGTAGAAGGGAAGTAATACAATAATAAAAATAAAACATAATAAAATAATTCTCACATTTCGGCCGAAACGTCGTGAGAATTATTTTATTATGTTTTATTTTTATTATTTTATTACTTCCCTTCTACGTGACTTTATTTTTTATTTTATTTTTAAAACATAAAAAATGTATTTGATTATGTTTTATTTTTTATTTCCCTTCTACGTGACTTTACCGAAATAAAAAAATGAAACATAATAAAATAATTTAATTATTTTTTATGTTTTATTTTTATTTCCCTTCTACGTGACTTTACCGAAAGAGCCAACAAAACTGTTCCATTGCCAGAAGGGGTGAAACCAATTCTTATCAGTACAACTTACTTTGTTTCATCAAACGCGATGTGTTTATTAACATTGAACATTTTTTTGAACAATTGAGAATCAAAGGGGTGCAAAGGCTGCGTTGGCTGGGTCATGTAGCCCGCATGCCCAGCCACCGCATGCCTAAACAGCTTTTGTTCGGCCGGATAGAGGCGGCTAAACGGGCGAGGCACGGGCTAGAGAAGAGATGGAGTGACGTGGTACAGGAGGACGTGGAGCTGAGTGGACTTGCCGATGACTGGTACCAGCAGTGTCAAGATCGGCCTCTGTGGAGGAGGCTCGTGAAGGACGCTACTGGGCAGTTGGAGGCAGTCGCCCTCCAACAACAACGGAAAACAGAGGAGCGACGCTCACAACAACGAGCGGAGCACCGGGCGGCTAAAACGCAGCAAGTTGGCACAGTAGTACCTGGGTCTGCCCCGTGACCTCCTGTCAGCGGGCGTTCGACACTTCACGTGGCCTAAACGTGCACACCTCCTCATCCTCCACCATCCTCCCTACCCACCACCTCCTCTCTTCATTCCCTTCCCAGTCGTCGCTCTCCATCCTCCACCTCCACTTCCTCCTCCTCCACCTCCTCATCCTCCACCATCCTCCCCACCCACCTCCTCCTCCTCTTCATTCCCCTCCCAATCGTCCCTCTCAATCCTCTTCCTCCACTTCCTTCTTGTCCACCTCCTCATCCTCCACCATCCTCCCCACCCACCACCACCTCCTCCTCTTCATTCCCCTCCCAATCGTCGCTCTCCATCTTCCACCTCCTCCTCCTCATCCTCCACCATCCTCCCCACCCACCACCACCTCCTCCTCTTCATTCCCCTCCCAATCGTCGCTCTCCATCTTCCACCTCCTCCTCCTCCTCATCCTCCCCACCCACCTCCTCCTCTTCATTCCCTTCCCAATCGGCCCTCTCCATCCTCCTCCTCCACTTCCTCTTTGTCCACCTCCTCATCCTCCTCCTCCCACATCTCCTCCTCGTCCTCCTCGTCGTCGTCCATGTCTGGACACGCGTACGAGAGCATTGCCTCCACCTGCAGGTGCACGATGGCGGCCTCCGGGTGGAGTCGGGGCGGCCCCGAGTGGGCCACG